TTATAATGGCTTTCGCATTGGTCGAAATGAACTTATCTTGTTATTTCTTCTTTTACCTTAGATTGACACTACCCATACCTTCTCGCAAATTGATCAACATCCTTATGTAGAAGTCATAAATAATAATATTTGAGCGACTTTGATCTTGAAGCACTTTGGGTTTGTTACCTCATTGATGATATTTCCAATTAAAAGGAGCAAGTTGTGCAGGTCAATTTAGCTAACTTCTTATTCTACGGCCTTCTATCTTCGTTGCTCCTTTGATGGTCAATCACTGGAGTCTTTTAGGGTTCCTTCCCCTATATGAATACACTTGGATAGATATTCAGTCATATGATTATCCACTTTGGATATGAGTTAGAGCCTCATGTCTTTGTATTTCCATATCTCTATCTTATCTTTTATCGAGATATCTTAACATCATCTCATCCCCAACTTAAAATAGTCGATTACTTTATTGACCACTAATTATGAGTCGGATTTTACCAGAAGGTGACACACACCAATCTCCTAAGAAAGCCATAGCCCAAGTATCAAGGCATTGTACTCGGCTTGATTGTTTGTGTCCTTGAATCTCACTTCTATCTAATGGTGCAAATGATCCTCGGTCGGATTGTCAAAGTAAACTTGAACTGAGCCCCAATGTGATTAAATGTCTGTCGATATGCAATACCTAGGTATGGTAGTTGATCGCTGCTTCTTTGTCAGACTCACTTTGCTCGAAGAAGTCATTCATGAAATCAGTTATGGATTGAGCCTCGATGGTCGTTTAGAGCATGCATCGATCAAACTCATTGAGTCTTATTGTTCATTTGAGAACCCAAATTGTTTTGGAGTAGTGAATGCTGACTTGAACAGGTGGTTGATGATGATTTTGACTATATGTGGTTGGAAGTACGGGTGGAGCCTACAAACAGTAATAAAGAGAGAGTTAAACTTTTATAGTTGGATAAATGAGCTTGGCTCTTAAGAGGACTCAACTTACACAATAAATTAGAAACCACTTCTCTCGCTCCTCTCATACTAAAACTAAGCTGATAGGATTGGTCCCGACTCCCAAGTACTCAAAGGGTTCTTCATTCGACTTGGTCTTTGGAGGAGTGGGGGTGATGTCAGGGAATCCTTCAAATTCATGAATGCTTGCTCGCATTCATCCAACCAACTGAAGCTCTTTGCTCCTTGCAAGGTTTTGAAGAAAGCAATCCAAATGTCACCCGACTATGAGATGAAAAGGCTTAGCCCAATGATTCGGTCGTGTGAATTTTTACTTCCTTGGTATTATGGGGGGGAAGACATCTTTGTCATTGTTTGAATTTTTTTTTTGGGAATGACTTTAATTCCTCTTGAGTTTAGGAGATAACCCAAGAACTTCTTTGTTGCTACTGCAAATGTGCATTTTAGTAAATGAAGCTTCACGCTAAACATTTAAATATTTCAAAAGTTTCTTTTTAAGTAATTGATGTATTGCTCGGGAGTTTTATTTTTAACAGATACACTATCTACATGCATCTTATTTTTTTTCCTTTTTGTTTGAAAAAGATTGCCTCCATCTCGCATGATAGGTTACCCGTTAATTTTAAGTCTGAAAGAGAATTACATTATAACAATACACTCGCTCATTGATGATGAATGTTGCTATCATTTCTGGGTTGGTAGGGTTGCATCTTTATTTTGTGGTAGCCATAAAAGGCATCAATGAAAGAACAATTATTGAGTCTTCGAGTGCGTCGATCATCGATAGTAGGATGTTGTATTTCAGGCAGACAACATTCTTGTTTGTGAGTCAACGCATATCCGTCATTTGTTATTCTCCTATGTTGTAACAACTTTCAGAAGCTTATGCACTTCTTCTAATATCAGCTCGCCTAACATGATTGCCACAATCATCATCTTTTGTTTCATTGGTTGGGTCGCTTGATTGATGTTCGACCAATGACAAACAATGTTGACTGACACCTCGGGCATCTCGGTGACCAACCAAGCGAAGACATCTTAGTGAATCAAAAGTGTCTAGACCAACTCATCTCCATGACCAACATTAAAAGCATAACACAGTAGGAAAAAGTTACCCACATCGTTGTCATCGGTAGGGGCCTTCCGGGTGACCTTGCCAGTCTTGAGGCTTTCCCCTCGCTTGATATCGAGATTTAGATACTCTTGATGAACATTTATATCTACACAAAGATGGCAAGTTCGGGACTATTCCAGCTTGCCTCAAATAATAATCACCTCCCCGTTGCCAAAAAACTTTACTATTGTATGGTAAGGAAGTGACAAATCACAAGGAGATGAGTAAAGAATGTCCGAGGATAACTTTGCAGGTTGGCGGAGAATCGACTTCGATAAAATATATCATGCAGGTGAGTTTCTTCTTACACTCTTGTTGGGTGACTTACAGGGTGAGGATTCCTATTGTTTTTTTCCTTTATCTATAGAACTTATAGAGTGGCTCGAGGGTGGCTGAAAGACATGAGATGCTCAAACCCATATTGTTAAATACCAATTTGAAGATAATATTCACTGAGCTTCCGGTTTCGATAAGTATGCCTCCAACATGGTAATTGGTGATCAAGACAATGATAGCAATATCGTCATTATAGAAGAGGCAAGTTTGCGCCAGTAAAATAAATGGGTGGTTGTAATTAGTGTCTGTGCTTTAGGGCGGCCACACATAATTCACCACATCAAAAAATTCTTCAAGCAGGCTCAGTGAGATGACACTTTTTCGTTCCCTTTAAATATGTTAGGAACAATGTCGACTATATGAACTATGTGAACTTAAATCACCTTATTTACAATTTCTTCTATATGAGCTTTTCCCCATCACTGGGTGGTTGCTCCGTGCGCCACAAATTTTTTTAGCTTCATGGATTTGATCAAATCCTCATTGAGGCTTTGGTGGTGTCAACATTCCTCAATATCATGAATATCACACCAATGACAGACATGATACTTCTTCGGGTTCCATATATATGCTCCAACTTTCATTTGGGCCACCTTATTGAAATAATATTTATTTTGGATGACCTCCATCGTCTCAGCCATCTTCTAAAAACAAGCGATGAAGGTGCACAAGGGCTTGCTCTGTCTTTAAGGAAGCTGCTTGAGTGCCCGCGAGCTCTTTAGAGGTTTATGAACACTTAAAAACCATGCAACAAATATTCACTTGAAGTTTGTGAATGATGTACTCACTCCTATCGGTAGTTCATTGAATCACATGAGGACTGAGTCCCTCAGTGTCATGAAGAAGAGTTGGCACTTCAGTTTGTTGATGATCTTGAGAAGACACACATTTGACTCGAAGGGTGTGATGTGATCAACCGTGTTGGTCCGACACTTATAAGATTCACATTGAAATCTTGAACTGTTATAGTGATTTAACTTCAAAGAACTGCTATAATAACACATTATCAAGCTGGTATGATGCATCAGTACATCTAGCCTGATTTTATAAATTGGTGTTGGCCCAATAATGTCAAGATGCTAGATTTCATCCTCAATTTCCAAGGCAGAGGGACTCTTCTATCGGTGGGTATTGAAAATTCCTATCAGGTTTCATGATATTTCTCCTGATTTGGTGCACCTCTAAACACTTCTAATAACTGATTCCTTAGATTATGGATATGCTAGACCATATCCCCTGCACTCAATGTTATTTATCATTATTCATCTTATTGTGATATCTTTTTCCTTGCATAACTTCTCTTCATGTTGGTGTCCTGATTCACACTCACCACTCCATTTTGGATGTTAAATCCAAGTTTGTCCATGGATCACACCTAAGGAATAAATTGTAAATAAGGAGAGAAAGATAAAAAAAGGAGAGAGATGAATATTAATGAATAAGGTTCAATAGTCTCCATTCATCATAAAATGTTTTCCCTATGAATATATGATAAAATACAATTATGACATTACATTTTACCCCCATTTGGAATGAGCCAATAATATGGTCTTTTTGGTATTTTACTTCTTTCATTTGCCTTCTGGCTTGATCGACTAAGCTTAGTTGATTTTGGGTTGACGAGGTCAGCTTGGCCGACTGAGCTTGGTCAATGATTCGATTGATTGATCAAATCTAATTTACTATTTCAATCTTTAGTGCGGAGTCTTTGGGGTCTTCACATAATGGTCAGAGATACTTTTTGTGGAAATGTATATTCTCTTAGATCAACTCTACAATTGAATAGACTATCACATTGAGCTGACTTTTCTGTATTGGATGGCTCAGATGCTGTATTGTCTTATTTCCAATTAGATGACTAGTGCTTGAATCATTTGATCATCTTCTTGTCCACATCATAGTTCAGTATGTTTTTGCTTTGTTGGCTCAACTCGTATTGCTTTCCTTGTTCATTCATCCGACCTCACAATCTCCTGGCAGTGGGTCTGTTCTGTTGTACTATTTTCTTATGAACCGTCAAATCTTTTTAAGATAGTGGTCATTATGGTTCGATCGACTAATCTAGCTTGGTTTACTATCTTTGATCTATATAGAAGAGTCTTTGGGGTCTTCGCAAGATGATCTAAGATACTTTGTTGAAATGAATATTTTTTTGGATCGACTTTGCTATGAGATATATTCCTTTAGTGGATGGCTAAAAATCACTCTTGTCTCATTTTCAAATGAATGACTCGTGCTTGGATCATCCAATCATTTTTTTCTCTTCCTTGTGAGTCTGTTTTTGCCTTGTTGGCTCAAATTGCATGGCTTTACTCGTTCACGATTTCCTAGCAGTGGGTCTGACTTAGTCGTACTTTTCTCTTCTAGACGGTTAAATCCCTCTACCATAAACAAAATGATTTTTTTAGTACACACAATTTCAAATATACCTGTGTGCGTATATAAAAATTATGTCAATATTTCAGATTTTAAAAGTTTTGTCATCATTGATGTGACATAAAGGATTCGGGTGATAGAAATATAAAAGAAGTATATTTGTGTTATATATAATACAAAGGATTAGGTGGTATGAATGTAAAATGAGCCTAATAATAAATTCGAAATACTTGACCATCCCGACCTAGTAATTTTTCCGACCGAACATAGAGCCTCTCCAAGTATTGTTACCATTGTGGTGGCACCAGCTTCCCGGCGACACTGCAGCGCGGCAGAGCTGTTCTAGGGTTACAGTGCTACCTTACAGATCGAGTGCAGAGGCATGGACGGGAACATGAAGATTGATCTCGACAAACTCCCAATAAAACGACTGCAAGCCATCGACGAAGCTGGCAACGAACAATTCCCTGCGTGCGAATTGAATCTCCGCTCTTTCCCCTTCCGCTCGTAAAAAAAAAGCTTGTTTTATATGTTTCTCTCATTTCTTGACGCAGAGATATCGGCTATGAAGAGAAGCGACTCGACATGATCCGGCGTATTGACTTCTCTTTAGTGGTGGAGAGAGACGCGAAGAAGCAGAACAGCTCCAAGGAGGCGGCCGGGAATCAGGCGTGGCCGTGGCAGAGCTTGGTGGAGAACCTGCAACTCGCCCAACAAGAACTGTCCATCATTCTTGATCTGATTAGCACGGTTGGTTTCTCTCCTTCCGATTAAACATTCATTTATAAATTTATAGAGCTGTATGCTGTTTATGGAGCAACGTGAATTCTGATCCCATAGCAATGCTCTTCTAGTAGATAGCGTTTGATGAAAACTGCTTACTTTTACGGAGTTTATAATCGGTTTTCCTGATGAAGATAGTTTTAGTTTCCAATGGATTTTGGATGCTAGATCTTCTCAAAATGTCGTCTGATTATAGCTTTGCAGCTCATTCTGTGTTATACTGCTTTTTTCATATTTTAATTATGGTGCTTTCTAAGTGAAAATTTTCTGACATATGTAGTGTTTGATGATAGAAATAATTGAATTCGATGTGAAAGATAGGTTTAGCCAAAATTAAGTTTTTTCATGAGTGCTTTAGTCTGGTGGTTGTCCATGAGGAAAAAATGGCTTATGGATCCTTTTAGGCATGATGACCTTTTTGGGTCCTTCCATTGTCTGTCTTCTTGCAACCATTGACAACTGCCAAGATTTAGTGCAGATCATTTTTGGATAAGTCACAGAACATCGAGGGATTGAGCTGTTTAAAGTTCATTTCACGTTATGTGGTAGCTGTTTCTGTGTGTTAATCTCATAGCGGATGAGAATTAACTTTTGTTGGTCAAATGTATGAGGAAGATTGAGAGAAAATATAATTTAACCTACTTACTTTAACGGAGTCTGCTCTACTACCCTGCAACAGTACCACCAATAACAACCTAAGAGCAATCTGGGCCGCCCAAATTAACATTTTGAATCTCACCATTCATTTAATAACAAACTTTATTCTCATATCTCTATATTTGTTACTTTACTGTATCAAATGAAACCACCTGGTGTGGTGTAATGAATTGCTAGCTTACAGTCCTCCTCATCATTATGTTCTTCCTCTTCTTTTTGTTGTTTGCAATTTCTTCCTGCTATCTGCTATGTTCAACTTGGTATTAGAGTTGTACTAAGGTTCTTGCGATCGCTCAAATCGATCCTCGCAGCTACCTCTCCATGGCGTCCTCCTATTCCAGCACCCCAATCATCGATAGAGGCGTAACAACAACTCTGCATCAGGCAATAGGAACAATAACTTCGCTCGTTTGAACCAACCCAACTTAAGCACAAATTGTGGAAACTGTCCTCCAATCTGCCAAATTTGTCGCAAAACCGGTCATGAAGCATACAAATGTGGGTATTGACACAACAAATAATTTCAAACACCAGCAAGCCTTCTCACCACAAATGCTGAGCAAAGTGATAACAAGTGGTACTTTGATAGTTGAGCGATGAACACCCGACAACTGAACCACAACACTTACAAAATGCTCAGGACTATAAAGGTGATCGAACCATCTCCGTTGGCAACAAGCAAGTTCCCCATCGCCCAAATTGACCAAGGCATCCTACCTACTCCCCAATGTAAGCTATACCTTCCCAAATTTAATCACATTCCTCATTTAGCCTATAATCTTGTCTCTATCCACATACCAACCAAAGCTAAATCTTGTTCTATCACATTCACTTTCGGTGGATATCAAATTGCCGACGTCAGGACCAACCGACCAATCCTTGAAGGCCCCTCCATTCAAGAGCTATATTCGGTGCAACCACCTATATCCACAGAGTCCTCTTCAAATCTTGCTCTTGTCCCTAGTCAACACATTTCGTAGCTTTGGCATCAAAGGCTTGGTCACGCCTCTCCCAACACGCAATCTATCATAGCTTCTAGATTTACATATTTATGCAATGCTCCTAAGCACTTACATTGTAATTCATGACATGCATCAAAGAGCCATAAGCTTCCTTTTTCTATTTCTAGCTCAAAATCCTCGTCTCCTCTTGAATTAATTCACTCCGATGTATGGGGGTCCTCTCCCACTTTTTCTTTACAAGCATATAAATATTACTTGGTGTTCATTGACAACTTTACACGCTATAAATGGATGTATATTCGAAATAAAAATGAAACCACACAAAAATTTCCTCATTTCAAATCTCTAATAGAAAATCAACATCCTTATAAAATTAAATCAACCAGAACCATGGAAAGCACATTAATCCATTTTTTCAATCTATAACCGATCAACATGGATTCCTACACCAATACTGATGTCCCTAAACAACCAAACAAAATGGAATCGTAGCGAAAACACTGTCACTTCATAGAAATCGTTCGAACTCTTATGCAACATATTTCTCTACCACCTTCAATTTGGGCTGACACACTCCTTACCGTCACATACCTCATTAGCCGACTACCATTCAAAATCATGAATTCCAAATCCCCTTACGAACTCCTACACAATGTTCACCTCACTACAATCACTTCATAGTATTTGGGTGTCTTTACTATCCATGGCTAAAGCCCTACACTCAACACAAACTAGTTCCGATGTCCACCCCATTTGTCTTCCTCGGCCACGCATCCTCCCAAAAAGGATACCGTTGCTCAGAGCAATCCTCCCACAAAATCTACATATCCCGCCATGTCACCTTCAATGAACAAATATTCCCATTCAAACACAATCCTCCCACCAAAACACCTCTAGCTACACCACACATCCCACAATTACCACTTCTACTCACACCCACCTCAATATTATCTACACCATCCCACAAAACACAATTACCTCCACTCACCGAATGCAAACAAGACTACAAACCGGTCACCTTAAACCACAACAAATTCTAAATCTCATCCACCAAACAACACCCGATCCTATGTGCTACTGCAGTTAAACATCATAAATGGAGGGAGGCAATGCTTCAGGAATTTCAAGCTCTACAATCACAAGACACATAGATACTAGTCCCACCTTCACCTCATCACAACTTCCTTTGTTGCAAATGGACCTATCACACTAAACTCAATGCTGATGGCTCCATCTTTCGCTACAAAGCCCTGCTTAGTATCCTAAGGCTACAAACAACAACATGGTCTTCACTGCACCGAAACCTTTAGCCTGATAGCTAAACTTCCCACCATTCCGGTAGTCATCACCATTGCCCTCACCAACCAATGGCCCATCTTTTAATTAGTGTGTCTAATGCATTTCTCCACGACCACCTCATTGAAACTATCTACATGACTCAACCACAAGGCTTCATAGATCCCAATTTTCCCATCATGTTTGTCTTCTCTTTAAAGGCCCTCTATGGCTTAAAACGGGCTCCATGTCAATGGTTTGCTACCCTCTCCAACTACCTCCAAACTCTAGGCTTTAAACCATGCAATTCCGATCCATCTCTATTTTGTCTTCACACAAACACTGCACATCTCTACATCACTCATTCAAACTACCACCCAAAAACTTCAATCTCAATTCAACATGAAAACACCGACACCCTATCTTATTTCCTTGGCATTCACATTACCACCTCCACCTACGACCCCCACCTTTCCCGATCCACATACGCCACCGAATCCTCAAATCAGTGGGCATGCAAAACTCCAAATCTGTCTCCAACCCTGTTTCTCCAAGCAATTATCCACTTCATCCGAACACACACCTTTCTCCAACCCAACGCTTTACCGCCAAATATTGGCTCTCTCCAATACCTCACACTTACCCGCCTAGACCTTACTTTCGCAGTCAATCTCACCTCTCAACAGATTCAACAATCTACAAACAATCATTTTAACCAGCTCAAGTGAATATTCTGTTACCTAAATGGCAATATAACTCTTAGTCTTCCAATCTACTGGTCTTAACTATGCATCACCGCCCACTCTGATGTTGATTGGGCCGGCAACCCAACTAACAGGAAATCAACTTCTTCCTACTGTGCTTTTAATTAGAGGATAGTTGTCAGCTCCACTGAATGAAGGGTCCCATCAGCCCCACACCCGTCTCCTGGTCATCCAAGAAACGAGTCACTGTAGCTTGCTGCTATACAGAATCCAAATATAGGGCTCTTGTCTCCACTACCACAGACATTATATGTCTATGTCGCCTCATGGCTGAATTTGACATCACTCAACCTTAATCAATCTTTATTGTGACAACGTATCAGCCAACGCATTACCCAACAACCCCGTAAATAATGCTCGCACCAAGCATATCGAGGTTGATTGCCACTTCATCCACAACTGCGTTCAACAACATAGCATTACAGTCCATCAAATCTCTACGCACTATCAAATGGCATATGCCTTCACCAAAGCACTCTCCAAATCAAGATTGCAGCAACTCACAAACAAACTGACAATTCCTGCCGAAATCATCAGTTTGAGGGGGGTTGTAACGGAATCTGCTCTACTACCATGCAATAGTACCACCAATAACAACCTAAGAGCAATCTGGACCGCCCAACTTCAATTGATTAAATTTCACCATTCATTTCATAACAAACTTGATTCTCTTATCTCTATATATGTTATCGTATCAAATGTAACCGGCTGCTATGGTGTAATGAATTGCTATCTTAGAGTCCTCCTTATCATCTTCCTCTTCTTCCTCTTCTTCCTCTTCTTCCTGTTGTCTGCAATTTCTTCGTGTTGTCTGCTATGTTTAACATTTAATACCTTTGTTATTTCCTTTTTTGTAGTCTTTTGATCATCACTATTTTTTGAGACATTTTTCATTTCTTCCAAACCAAAATGTAAAAAATCTGTATTGGTTTTAGTATTATCGCTAGGATTCAATAATTTTGAATTCATAATTTTGTTTGTTTTTATTTTTTCGATAACATTGTTTTTATTGATTATCAAAAGTAGTATTTTAAGAAATAAAAAAGATTAGCTAACGGGGTCTCAAGTTACATCACAAATGGAATTGTCTGGTGCCTCAATGATAGAATTTTAGTTAAGCTTTGATGACTGCTATAGTTCCACCAAAAATTTAATTCAAAATCTATGATTTTTCCGTAAAACTGTTGAGTTTTATACGAAACTTGATTGAAACTCTTGAGTTCTGCCTAAACTAGTCTAAACTGAAAATCTTACTTAGTTTTGGCTCTATTTCAATCGAAAAATAATTATTCGAAACCTAAAATATTAACTAGTTTTGTGTTGATTTCAACCTTTACTGATTTGAAACTTCCAAAACTTAAAAAAAAGATATTCGAACTCTTAAAAGGGTGTTATGACATCTGGGCATGAGAAAATTTAAAAGAAAATGTTCCCTGTTTATTTTTTATTTCCATATCTTATGACATTTGATGCGAAATAGCTAGATATGGTAAAATTTAATACAAAATATTTGTTTATCTGCCAAGTCACACTTTGATGTGTTTTGCAGAAGATTTTCTTTAGTTGTTTGAAGTTATTCATGGGAACATATTCCTATGGAAGCTAAAAATTGTTTTTTATCTCAAAACCTTGCACTGAAACCAAAATCCATGGCATTCTCTTCTGGAAGCCAGTGAATTATTTGTCACAAATTATTGGACAAACCTGTTTTGATTTGGCTTATGCCAGTTATAGTAATTCATATATTGGTTTTTGTGCAATATTGATGAGAGATATGCCATCTCTATGCCTTATTTTATGCGGCAAAACATATAGTTATTTCACATATTGCGTGGCATATTTTTTTTCAGCACTCATTTTCTTTCTATTTGAAGATATTGTTTTAGGTTGAAGCAAACGATGCTGTTACGGTGGCTGGGATGCAAAGGCCAAAACAATTGCCTCATGAATCTTTGTCCGATATTGCAGTATCTGCAGCAACAAAATTACAGCGCCTCCGTGTAATTTATCATTTACATAAATTTCTTTATTTTCCATGAAATTTGTTTGAATATCTGTTTACTGATTACTAATATTTCTGAACTAATTTTGGCCTAAGCAGTTTTAGATTTTAAACTTTAAACTTTAGGGATGCTTTACTTTTTTGTTAGATGGTGCTCAAATGATACCGTAGTTAACATAACCACAATATGAGAAACATATAATATGACCGAAAACAAATAGGAGGCTACAATCAAGGAAAATACTCCGACACGGCATTCAAAAATCTGAAATAGCAATAGACACAACTCAAATAATGAAACTAGGGTGGGATCTAGGGGTGTTGGTGGCGATCAACAGGGGTTTGGAAAGGTGGCGGCAAGGCAGAGGGGTTGGATGGCGGGAAACAACGACACAACATTGGTCGCTTGCTTTCCTGGGCGGCAGTGTGCAGTAAAGAGCAGAAACAATAATAGGACAGGAAAATAAGCGCAGACACCTTGCTGTCTTCAGCAAGGCAGGCTGGCGGACAGACAGCAAGGTAGGCTGGTGGACAGCAAGGAACAACAGGTCAAACATCAACAGTTTGCTGTTTGAGGGTGGCAGAAGCAAGGTAGAGGGGATTTGGGGCGGCTGTGAGGGTTGAAGGCATGGCTGGGACAGCTGGGGATGCTGGAACGAGCAAGGACAGCTACTCCTCGCCGTCCGGGATGGCTACAGCAAGTCGAAATGTGGATGGATGGGAAGGATGATGCAGAAGCAATATGTGGAAGATAATCACCACCACGTGAGCACTACCCAATCCATTGGATACAACTCTCGAAGGGAGAAGAAAAACAAGTCGAAATGTGGATGGATGGGAAGGAGGATGCAGAAGCAATATGTGGAAGATAATCACCACCCCGTGAGCACTATCCAATCCATTGGATACAACTCTCGAAGGGAGAAGAATGGACGTCGACTGTTGTCCTAAACAAAACACTCGAAAAAATGACTTCCAAACCCTGATACAATACATATATAAGAAATGACTAAAAATGATCGAAGGATAATAGGAAATAAAGCCTAAGAAAGGAAAACACGATTATTTCGGCTTGTCCTCCGTGATTGATATGTCCGCGGTACTGTAGCTGCTACATTACCATGGTATTTTTTTTTCCATTAAGCTCCCGCGTTACCAAGTTTGGCCAAATAATGTGTATTTGATAGCTTTATAACATGAAAATGTGTTTTCATTTTTCTTTTTAAGTATATATTGTTGAATAATAATCACCCAAGCAATTTGTTTTTTTCCTTCAAATATTTACATTTTTATTTTTCAATGGTTCAATTGTTTAGGGACCGTTTGGGATCACTTTTGTTCTTTGTCTCTTATTTTTGTTTTCATTTTGTTTTATTTATGTGTTGATTCGAAGAAAAACATGTTTGGTATGTTTGATGAGGATGTTATTTTTGAAAACACTGAGAACACCTAGAAATTATTTTGAGTGTTTTCCAAAATATGTTTATTTAAAAAAAAAACATAAAAACATATAAAAAACACACTAAATAAACATGCTTCTAAAAACAAAAGAAAAAAAAAAAATGATCCCAAACAAGCCCCGGGTAATTTTTCACTTTTATTCTTTTAGTGGTTAATTCATTTTTCCAAATTTAATTTTCTGTACGATGAATAATTGAAGCAATCTTTTATTCCAGCTGATGTAAGCTCTATAATTGGGCTACATCGAATTGATCCAGCCGTTTTGTTGACTTTTTATAATCAGATAGTTGATAATAGAAGAGAGACAAGTGTGTTAAAATAAGGAGTAAACATATCTAATTACCTTAGTCACTTCAGTTTTGACTTTGAGATCCCTTTATTTAAAGACACCCTTTTTAAAAGTCAAACATAGACCACTGAGAAACTAAAATGAAGTAGAAATTGTTAAGTTCGAAATAGTAAATAGCATGTTTGCTGAAGACAGGAATTGAAAAATATTCAACTTTGTAAACTTGCTAGAGGTTTCATTATTTTCTAATGATTATCTCAATCTCCATAGATGGTGTTTTCCCCATTTATAAACTTTTTTTATTTCTCTTCATCCAATATGAATCTTTCATGATGCCAGGTTCCATGATAACCCCTTGTAGTCAAACATAAGGCGTAACGGAGATGCTTATAATTTATTTGACTGAATATATGACCAACATTCATTTTGGAACTTTGTTTGTCAGATTAGAGAAATTGATATGTTAAGCATCTGAATGACTTAAACTTTTTATATAACATAATTTCTAACTCACATAGATCTAGTGATTGACATATCAATGGAGTGGATGCATTTTAAAAATTTTTATTCATTTAACCACAAAAAATCTGAAGGTTTATCAAGCACAACCATAGCAATAAACTTTTATCTTGTAATCTATTTCATTATGCTTTTTATGTACAATCAAAATTAGCATCAACTTAGTAACTTGTTCAAATTCCGATAATCTTATTTTTACCTCTACATGAATAAACAGTCAGAGTAATATCAAGTTAGATAAGCAATTTTAATCTAAATTAAATATACGAAGAATTAAGGCAATGTGATATACTAATCATTACTTGGACATAAGAGTTAAAAAAGCGATCATACATTAGTCTAGTGGAATACCTATAATCGTAAAGTGAAATTATTTGAAGAGTAACAGGCATAATAACAAGTGAGGTAAATTAAGTGAAGGAAACTTTAAAAATATGCTCAATGTCTAATCATATAAGAGACTATTTTTTAAAATATTTTTTTTACTTATTTTATTTATTACTTGATATGAAATAACTAATTTTAGCCTTAGAATATGTAATGTATGCATGTTTAGGTTTATTGACATTTATAGATTTGTGAATTGAACAAGGCATGCTCCGAAAGTTCATAAGGTTGAAAATTCAGCCCAAAGCTTACATATTAAGGACCTTTTTTCCTTTGTAAGGGACCATATTTGTACCCTACTTTTAGTCATCATCAGAAAAATATTATATTTAGTATTGTTTATTAGGTTAGAGCTCATTTTTATCATCCTACCTGTATAGATTATCATAAACATATTCTTACCAATCTATATAACATTGTATGACATTTCTTAAGCTCATCACATCTTAATTGTTGAACATTTCAATGCATATATCATTCATTTGTAGCTTGCAAATTAATTCTAATCATTTATATGTAAATAAAAAGTTCTAACTGTTGTGTTAAACATGCATTTTAATAAAATATTAAAGAGACTTTAAAAATATGCTCTATGTTTAATCATAATATATAAGAGACTCTTTTTTAAAATATTTTTTTACTTATTTTATTTATTACTTGATATGAAATAACTTATTTTAGACTTAGAATATGTTATGCATGCATGTTTAGGCTTATTGACAATTATAGAGTTGTGAATTGAACGAGGCATGCTCCCAAAGTTCATAAGGTTGAAAATTTAGCCCAAAGCCTGCATATTAAGGACCTCTTTTCCTCTGTAATGGACCATATTCGTACCCCACTTTTAGTCATCATCAGAAAAATATTATATTTAGTATTGTTTTATAGGATAGAGCTCATTTTTATCATCCTACCTGTGTAGATTATCATCAACCTATTCTTATCAATCTCTCTAACATTGCATGACATTTCTTAAGCTCTTCACATTTTAATTCTTGAGCATTTCAATGCATATATCATTCATCTGTAGCATACAAATTAATTCTAATCATTTATATGTAAATAAAAAGTTCTAACTGTTCTATTAAACATGCATTTTAATAAAATATTAAAGTGACTTTAAAAATATGCTCTATGTTTAATCATAATATATAAGAGACTATTTTTAAAATATTTTTTTACTTATTTTATTTATTACTTGATATGAAATAACTTATTTTAGCCTTAGAATATGTCATGTATGCATGTTTAGGTTTATTGACAATTATAGAGTTGTGAATTGAACGAGGCATGCTCCCAAAGTTCATAAGGTTGAAAATTTAGCCCAAAGCCTGCATATTAAGGACCTCTTTTCCTCTGTAAGGGACCATATTTGTACCCTACTTTTAGTCAACATCAGAAAAATATTATATTTAGTATTTTTTTTAGGATAGAACTCTTTTTTATCATCCTACCTGTGTAGATTATCATAAACATATTCTTACCAATCTATCTAATATTGCATGGCATTTTTTAAGCTCATCACATTTTAATTGTTGAGCATTTCAATGCATATATCATTCATTTGTAGCATGCAAATTAATTCTAATCATTTATATGTAAATAAAAATTTCTAACTGTTCTATTAAACAGGCATTTTTAATAAAATATTAAAGTACTTGTAATACTTATAACATGTGTATTCATATTTTAAAATTTTAAAAATTATATGATCATGATAGGTAAGAGATAAACACGTGCCTTGCAATATGAAGATTTTCCAATAGCTTTCTTGCGTATATTTTTTTAAATACATATAAAGTACATGCAAAACATTAAATCAAACTTTTCCTGATGAATTAAAAATTAAGTTATAATAAATCAACTACAGGGCAAACTTTCTCATTATGGCCACTTCAAAATTTTGTATTTTTCTGCTCAAAGTATGAAATATAATTTATTGAATTTATATATCTAACTTCCGAACTTAAGTTCTAAAAGAAAATTTCTGCCTGAAAGTAACCCTTGTGCATATCGGCTTTAAATTTTGCAACTTTGATTCAAAATCCTTGCATTGAAGTAATCACTAAAGAACTGATATCTACCTGGAAAATTTAGCTTCCCTTTCCTTCTCCTTCTCTTCTCTTTCACTTTTGCCTGCTTTATACTCTAGCTATAATTATATGTCCTTAAAGGTAAAACTAACTTGAAGCATTTACAACCAGCCCTGTAAAACTGAGAGGCTAAGCCAATGCATGCCTCAGTGAGTGTAAAGGCCTTCGGAAGCTACAGTGCAAGAGTTGGAGGAATAGTGATATTAATAATAGGAACAATAAAATTGAAGGGGCATTTACATGCTGTTG